GGTGTTGAGTGAGCCCAAACTGATCAAGGGGTAAGAGTTGTTCAATTTTATAATTTTGTTTTCTTTATAAAATATGATGCCCTGCTACACCTAGAACTGTACAGGCCATTATAAAGGCTGAGGACTTACCCTTATGCAGAGCTGCAGGCAGAGAGGAACTATTCTGTGAAATATGAGGAGATATCGGACCCTCACTTTCTCTGAATTTCCAAACTGCTTTATTAACATTTTTTTCTTATTTGTTCCTCCAAATGATCACTTGAGAAGGGGAGACAGAAGGCCAAAAGTTTGCTGAAAAGGTAGGGAAGGGGGTGCAGGGGGTTGGGGGAGTTGTGCACAGACAGCACCTTAACACGAGGTAGGACCATTTTACACACCAAGCCAATGACACTTCATCATTTTGATAACACATAAATGAGCATTTGTATCCGTTTCGTGTTCTCACTCACAGAGGCCTAATGTTACTGCATGTAATTAAAAAAACAAAAATTTGTAATACATGAAAAATTGAACAACGGCATGGTAAAGATAATATACAATACATTTATATGAAAACATGAATGATAAAAAGGGAGGAAAAATGAGGTTTTGTGTCTGCAACAATGAGTTAGGTGGAACAAAAGTTTAGGCAGGTGCTCTTCTGATTTGACACACACACGAGAAAAAAGATATATGAATATATGGCCAGGTATTAATATTAATATTTGCTCCATTTCATTTTATAAAAAAAGAAAGAAAAAAAAACCACGGAAAAAACCACAAACAATACAGCGGTTTAATCAACATCCAAAGGTTGCTGCTGTTGCTGGTGTTAGTTTCCAAGGCGGCATAGAAGAGGGTGGTTGGTTGGTTGGTGGGTGGTGGTATTGTTGATGATGGTGGGTAGGTGGAGGGAGCATGTCTCTAGATACCACCACCACCACCACCCCCCCTGAGGTGCAGAAAAGGAGAGCGAACAGCAGATGAGGTGTGTCGAGGGCCCCTGGCAAGCTTAGTTCCCAGCACATCGGCCCACACTGAGCGAGTAGCGGCCCCCTCGGCGCGGGGGGGAGAGGGGCCCCGTCCAGGGGTAAGGCACGAGGTGGGTTAGTGGCCAGCTGGGTTAATGAAACAAAATAAAATAAAGAAATAAAAGGAGTTAGTCCACTGATATGTGCTACAAGAAACTTACAGTAGACCACTAATCAACAATTAATGATATTACGGTATTATTATTAAGTATTATAATTATTATTATAACATTATGGCTGTTATGTTTCCGTGGGACAACATTAAAAAAGTGGTGTATTTCCAGGGCATTCAGGGTGATAACTTTTAAAGAAATATATTTGTAAAATTCTGATGACGCATTTTGATACAAGGAGTGCACAGAAGAAATAGTATCCAGGTCGCTGCGGGTCTTATTTATTAACTTTGAGTGTTACAGAAGACAAAAATGAAATCAGTTGAAAACACATCTAATTGCCACCAAATGTTGAAAGCATTAATTTGCACAGAGGGAGTAGAATGCACTGGAGTGGTGTTGTGTGTACAAATTATGTTTTAGCCAAAACTTGGGGGGGGGGGGAGAGAATAATCAAGAGCTGTATGTATCATACTGGCTGTAGATATAAGCATGTGATAAGAATTCAAGTTGTTTTCATGCAATAATTAACATGCACATGATGAGCTATGGCAATACAAAGAACTGTTTACGCTTGACAGGGCTTCACTTCCTTTGTGACCTTTGGTTTCTTTGAAGTTCATCGCATTTCACCTTCAACTCTCACATTTTTGTCGTATTGATGATGTAGATATAATATAATTCGGGGGGGGGGGGGGGGGGGGGGGGGGGTTGCATATGTTTTTATAACCTATTGACTGAAAAATTTGTTTCCGGCAAAAAATTGAAAACTGATCAGACTCATGCGCGCAACCAAACATTATAGGCAGCGTATGTATAACTAGGTTAGTCTTACACATGAAGTCAGGAAGAATTAAAATGTTTCCAGAATATTTTATTTCCTTGAAGATTTTTCAATGGGACTCAGTTGACATCAGTTTAAAAACTTGTTTAAATCTTTATCACCATTGTGAGGAAAATTAATGAGAAAGAATCATAACTGTGTTGGCATAACACGATTAGCCCACCCTGATCCTCTATAATGCTTTTTTATTTACTTTGCTGGGAAAGGGTTAATGAAATAGATTCAGATCAGCTACTGGGAAAAATTATTGGTCTCTACATGTGCTAAATCCCTCAATTAGCACTACAAACAGGAAATGAAACCCTGTCACCAGATGAGTTGTCATATAATATTATGAGCAGACGTGAAGTAAAGAGGAGCAGACTGAGGAGACGGTAGAGGAGATACCACAGACTTTTGGTCATTCAACACAAAAGAGTTAACAAGTGTAGGTGTGAGCACCCGCCCACTAGCTTAGTTTGGACGCACCACTGAGGATGAGGATTAACACCATTAGGCTAGACATTAATCTAAGCAACACATCATTAGCTATCAACCAAAAAAAGCAGGTCAGAAATGAAAAGGATTAACACAAAGAGGTCGATGAATGCGGACAAAAAACATTCCTTCTCACCAGAGATAGAAAAAGTTTTGCTCAAGTGTACGGCATAATAATAATAATCCTTTTTTAAGTTTATAATAATCTGCAGATGTCAAGGTTCAGTGTATCAAATGTTGCCAGCTTCATGTACACATACAATTACAAACCTAACATTTTATTGAGTCACTATCTGTGAGGTCCACTGTGACACATTTGTGCTTTAGGAAAACCCTTTTTTCTCCCCCCGTTAAGAATGAAAGAATAGGAGAAATTCTTTATGAGTCTGTGTAAAGACCACATCTGACCCGTGGCTCAGCCCATTGTCATAGTATGAGACAGAAAGCAAAAGACAAAAGAAAAAGAGACAACCATCACTGAAAATAAACGATTGCTTTATTTCTCTAACAGTATATATATAATATTGACAACAATTGCACAATTTTATTTTATTTTGATTGGACAATCATCACAAAACAATTTGGAGAGAATTTTCTAAATAAAAATCTGAAGATTCTCACTATTAAATGATATAATGCAATAAATGTAATGCTTTCGGTGATCTATAAAATAAATAGAATATACTATATCGATGCTTGTAATATCTTATGTATGAGCAAAATAGGAGCCAATATGAAATTCGGATTTCTATTAACAATAAAATATAAATATAAAATGGATGCACAGTGCATTTAGAAATCAAATCCCATTATATTCACTTTCTCCCATTCAGCAATTGTAGCCCTACCTTTTTACCATATTCCATTCACAAAATCAATCGGTCTTACAGGGAAAAAACTTCAACACTACTTCCCCCTGTCATATTCCGGGTCCCAAGGTGCTGAATCAAAAATCTGAACTAAGACCATGGTCTTGCACAGTTCTGTTGAATGTATAAACAAAAATATTTTCTGATAATTTCCAATTTCTTTTACAACCACTGACATTTTCTTTTGCTAGCACTGTTCAACTCCTTTTCTGTGCACTAATTTTGTCATATCAAATTCCGCTTGATATATGGCAGCTTGAAAACTCAATGAATCTCAAAGCACATACAACTCACTCAGCAGCAGAACTACACAACGGACCTGACAACAGATATCCGACCTACTACACTACACACGATAAGAGATCACTACCCTCAAAACAAAACAATGACAAACAGAACTCTGAGGAAAAAATTCGGATGGTCAATGAAACAGATTCACGTATGTGTGCATGTCAGAATAATGAAATGGCAGGACATGCACACGAGTGAACGAACGGGGAACAATATGAAAAGAAGGCACTAACTAAACAGATCAACTAACCTGGTATAAACATTAGGATAAAGACACCCTTGTGTATGGGTGACCTCTCACTCCATCTAAAGTACGTCGCATCTTTTGCACAGCACCTACAAAAATCCAATACCATTTGAGTGCAAAGTCATTGAAATAAAATACACATGGTGTGCACACATTTTTTTCTCCTGCCTGGCTGAACATCTCATGCCATTGGCAGGGCCAAGAGAGGAAGAACAGACCAGACAAGCAACCCTCTGGACTTTTTCTACTTTCTTGTTTGGTTCTTGACCAAAAACCTACCAGAAGCTGTCTTCTAAGTAAATGAACACTAACCCCATTTTCTTATAGAGAAAAATGCTACACAAGCAGTACATCTTCAAAGCATCATGAGCACTTGAGCATAAAAACCATATCCCATCACAACAAAAAAAATTCACACACAAAAACCCATGACATAAAACATCGAGGACTACTCATCGCCCCAAGTGTAAACTTGAAGATAAAGGGACGGGGGGGGGGGGGGGGGGGGGGAACAACTCTATAAACTGAGTAAAAAATTGATGACAACAAATATAATACATGAACACTTCACAATACAATAGTTTGGATTTCATCATAAACAAGGAACACAACATGAACCAACATGGTTTCTGAACGACATCGACTGCATGCCATATCCCCTGGTCCCATTGCAGTGTGTGTATGTGGTGTGCTTAAATGGGAGTCAGCACTTACGAGGCCATGACTTGTTCCTAGTCCATATTCTATTTTACCACTACACCAAAAACATCACGATACCAGCTTGAATACTAAAAGAAGTTCCAATCATAGTTAAAACCATGTAATCCTGTACTTAGAAAATTTGTACGATCCAGACGGAACGTAAGTCAGTGCTGAAATCATACTGAATTTCTTGGACATGGAATATCGCAGTGCCAAAACACTATAACATTGTTGCTGGAGAATAGTACAAGATAAACAGGGCAGATTTTCTTAGAAACACATCTTTGAGGCTCAATGACCAACATTTGCATGCCTAATTTCAGATTGAAAAAAGCCCCACCCTTGTGCATACTTTTCTCCAATTTGTAAAGCTCATATAGAATGGACATTTAATGATAAGGGAATGACACTCTTTCAGGTAAAAGTATACAAATCTTGATAGCATAAATTTTTTTATCAGGGTTCTGGTCCGGCCCTAGGTCATGACAACCACTACAGAGCTGACAGCTCCTGCAGTACCAACTGCCCATTTACGCACACCTCACGGAAGACAAAAGAAAGTAAGAAATAAACATAACAAGTCAAACATGGGAGAGTTCACTTGGACCTCCAGAAACATGAGGTGGGGAGGGGGGAAACAAAAAAATGTTTGAGAAGAACAAAAGAAAGGAGCATAGTGTAATAATAAATAAGAGAGCTGACTATATCTTCATAAAACAGGCCTCGGTTCCCAGTAATCGAAAAGCAAATTACAGGACATGATATGGGCCATGTGGAATAGTAAAATCAATTGATCACAGCCGAGATATTTGCACTTTCCTTTTGCTGTAGTTGTAGTCTTAGTTTTGGTTAGGTGTTAATTCGCAAAACAACCTCGAAGTTATATGAGTCAGAGCGGCAAACACACATGCTCATAATCATAACTACCAGAAGTCCCTTACTTTTTATTTTTTACACTGCGGCAAATTTTGGTAGCTAGCAACTCAATGGAACAATATAGAAAAGAAAGTAAAGACCATTGAGACTCTAGATCAACATAGAATGTATGTTAATTTCTTTTAAATTTTCCAATAATTGCCAACAACAAGTAAATAACTCCTAGACAACTCTAGACTAGGAAGTAAGATTTTGGTACTTCGTAATAGAAAAAGTACGCCATCAAAGTGTTGCAATACGTCACAGCATTAATAGATTTGATCAATTTTACCACTTGAAAAAAATATTTTACGGAAATATAATAGCAACAGGCAATTATGAGCATGGTTATGCTGCTTGACTTGCGTAATAGAACGACAAAGTATTAGTGGAAACTCTTAAAAAGTTAAGTGCACAAAGGGGCCTCGTAAGAAAGGCAACATTGTCACTGATCACCATAGCAACCAAACAGATGCCATCCAGAATACTTCCTCTTTCTGATCGTCATGGCAGAAATGTGATCTTCAGTAACATATTGCTTTACTCATGAATTCCCTATGCACAAATGAGAGTACTTTTTACGTATGCATATATTAAATAATGAGGAGTAAATGCAAAGAGTTCAAAAACAACCCAAAATGTTCTGAGAGGAGAAAGTCTAAACTAAAATTTATGAAGTTAAAGAGACGGGAAAAAAATGTGGTTATTCCAGGAGACATGCACTTAGATCAAGCAGGAGCTTCACAGCCACACCCTTGCCCATTTCACTTTGTCTAGCCAAGAATGACAGGAAAAAACGAGGACAAGAAATGTTCATAAAGAATTATTCCATTAGTCCCAATCAACAATATTTCTCAGGGACCATTTAAAGACATCTAGACTTTCCAATATTTCAAAGCTTTCAAGGTTACTGGACAACGCAACTGAAATCACAGACGTGAAAATAAACACGAGGTGGGGGGGACTTTTTTCAAGTTAGCTAATATCATTGAGCATAAGAAGGCCAAGGGTGAAGCTGTGCTGCATAAGATTTAGGACACAAAGTACATTTATTTGAACAATTAACGAACAACACTTTAAACCAACAAATGTTAACAATTAATATATAAGACAAATGTTTAATGTAGTTTATCATGGCGGGAATATATCAACACTTCTCAGTGGAACTCTTCCAGTTGTTGTAGGTTTGCATTACTTCTTTGATTTCATGTCATTAAAATATTCATTTTCTCTAAGGCAAATTTCAAATTTTCCCAACTGTTTAACAAACTCAAAACCTGAGACGTGGGCATTTTCAACTGCCATTCTTTTCTTTTCTTTTTTTAAAAAAAGATTTTCTTTTAATTCAATATATGATGATTGGAACAAGGCAATGAAATCTGGTATGATATTGTTCACTTAAAAATATACCTTTGTCATTTAAATCTATATATTCCTCTACAAAAACCTGCTGGGTTCAAACAATACCGTCACCTACTTCAGCAATGACTAACTAAGAGACAAGTATGAATAAAAGGGAAAGGTGGGGTGGGGAGGGAGGGTGTGAAGAGACAAACAAGTCATCATAGCAGAGGAGTGCATTAGTAGCGATAAAAGCCCTTACTTAAGCATGCACACACGGAACACATGTACAAAAATGTCATATCAAAATTGAGCAATTCCTTCACGACTCACTAGTCTCTACTGCCACACTGGAACACACATGTCTAATTTGACAAACCCATTACGTTTTTTTAAAAACCCAGACACGCTGATGTCAAGGGATAAAATATAAGCTATTTACAGAACAGGGAATGGCCTCACTTCCATTCGTTTCTGTTCCCACTAGGAGGAATTAGAAGTAATGAAAATTTTGACAGAAAATCTGGTATAATTGTTAATTCTCAACAATTTTAGATACACTCAACACATCCCCAACAGCCTTTAATCATACGCAAAGTTACAACATCACCACACTCTCAACCTCACCCCCATAACCCATAATCTATTACTCATCAAGCCCGCAAAGCAAACCATGGCAGACAGGCAGTAATATTTACATACTGCAGAATTTCTGCACTTGTAGAGTGGATTCCCTTTCTGTAATTTGGTACCTCCTGGTACTGGAAACTTCTCCCCTCATGGAAATGAGACCATTCGCTTAGAAACACAAAAACTATATCAACTACAGTGTGAATGTTATAAATGCAGCCAAACCACCACCAAGCATAATGATGTAATATAGAATATCTATAATAAATAACATCAATTTATTATCTTTATTTCTGCAGGAATATATTTACAAAGGTAATAGAGTCTGCATAACGGGTGTGAATGGAGTTCTACTCCCCAGTCACTTGTCTATACTAACTCAGGAAATGACTATTACTTCTGACATGTGCTCTGTCCCAGTACTTAACCCTTCAAGTTCAAGGTTCCTGGCATTTGTTCTCTCAGTATTACCGAGGTCTCAAACAAAACTTTGCATCTTGGCATCAAGTCTTCAGAAAAATTTATTTTAAAAGGGCTTTTTAAATAATTTTTTTAAAAGCCCTGTCTCATTCCTTTGAAATCTTTTTTACTTCTGAGCACTGTAGTCATTTAATTCAATAGTCAGCCCAAAACCTCAAAACTATGTCTTCAGATCTTCAAAACCTGAAATCTTTACTAATACTATCATGATGGGCATGGATTTTAAAACAAAATTTTCTTCAGTTATCCAAATAACTAGAGAGTAGAGCAGAAATTTGAGAAAAAAAAGGTTTATTTCAATGAGTGAGATCACATAACCAAAAAGAGAAATAGAAGCATGCAAAGGAAAAGGCATAACCCAGCACAGCTACGGGAGAGTATATGAACACTTTTTCAGTTAGCCACTGATGCAGATATCGCACTTATATCCACATACAGTTCATATCCACACAATGACCGAGCACACTTGCCATGGTGGGGAAATGACACTCATAAAGAAAGGCAATCTCCGAACTGAACGGGAATGTTGGAATTCTCCACACACAGTAACAAAAAAGATTTTTTAAATAGTGAAACAAAGGCTAAAAAGACAGCACTAGTGGAAATATTGCTAGCATGCGGCAGCCCAGGGAGTTGTAGCTTCACCTGGCAACTGCATATCACAAGAAGAGGCAGAACATGGCAAAACAACTGCACTTTCAATACAAGAACAATGATATCCTTCTGGAACGATTAAAACTCTTTCAAGAAAAAAGAAAAGTGCTAAAAAAAATACAGCAGGGAAGGCAGGACAGAAGTCAGGACACTTTCTTCTCTTAGAAAACCTTTTGTTTTTATCAACAATAATGTGACACATGTCCTGTCCTCACCTGACCACTTTTGATGGTTATGCAGTAAGATAGCCAGAGAAAATGAATCTTTAAAATTTAGAGTCTTAAGTAGATACCCTTGCTTGCTATTCATGGATTACTTCAGTACAGGGTTATAAAAACCCAAACGACTTTGCACTTCTTTAGATAAGACCATTAAGTAGCATTTTCGGCTTGGAAAACATACAAACATTGGGAAAGCAGGAATTCTCTATTCACGCATATTTAAAAAATATATATATATATATATATATATATATATATATATATATATATATATATATATATATATATATATATATATATATATAATATATATATATATATATATATATATTATTATATGTATGTATAAACAAACAAAGGTAAACTATGCGCCACTAGTAAATACTGATGTAACTGTCATTAAGATCATTTTAAAATAAAGTCCCAAACAAAAAGAAAGCGAAGCCATGGTGGGAATGTTTAGCTCAAAATCAGCATGAAGCAGGCACCAAAAGATAAATATTGTCCTCATCAATAATAAAAATAAATATCAAACATTAAGCATCTAGTCAAAGTGAGGTGTGATTCTGTAATACAATTATTCTCCCAAATCGTTCCAAAATCTGTCTTCCTCAAAACCTCATTTTAAAAAGGAAGAACATTTTCCCAGAAACAGATGAGAAACAGCCAAAAAAGTTATGGGCATGTACCCCGGTTTCTGTGAAGTACAATCCATACACACATACTTCAATTTTAGAATACTTTACAAATCAGTCGAACAGTTACATCCTCAAGGCCTCATTTTGACTAGCGGCACAACAAACGAATCTGTCTTGGGGAAGGTGGACGAAAAAAACGCAAGGGCTCAAAAACACACACAAAACAAAGGTTTAAAAATCTAATCTTTAGCACTCAAGGCACTGAGCACAAGTCGGTACAAAATTCATATCAAATAGAACTCCCGAAACAAGCTGGAAGACTTACAAAAATAGCAAATTTTCTAGATATGAGCATGTAAAAGAAAGGGCTGCAAAACTGCTAGCCTCTACTGACAGGCTGCTGAAATACTCAGGAACTCTGGACATGCATTTAACTATATACAATACACACAGCTTCTAGTCTTAGCTCAAATCTGACTCACAGAATCCAACACCCCCTACTCAAGACATTTCATTTACTATACACACACACGCACACATATACCCACAGACTGAAAGACACACATTATTACACACCAACCCAACCCGTACACACAGAGAGATAGATGAGCAGTAAGATCTGATTGTCTAAGGCACTGATCTACCCACACATGTTCAATACTGTTGGAGAGAAAGTACGCAAATGTTAAAAAAAAAGAAAGACAAATCTTTGTTATGCGTAGTGTATAAAAATCAAAATCAACATTTTAAAAAAACTTGAATTATAAATGCATTTAGGTTTTCCCAGATCACCGATATTTTTAACATTTGTTCAAGCATTATGAAACATAATTGCTAAGTTGTCTTCCCATTTAACATCCATGTTTACTGGTCTTTTCAGGCCGTTAATGGTCCAGTAAGTTAAGGAAGAAATCAAGACATTACAAAACTGATGCAATATTCAAAACTGCACTAAAATTGACAGACATGATGTCAAGAAGGACATAAACTGCCATAAACGAGTAAAAAGCTTGTGTCTTCGGAGAATTACAGAAATATGGGACTTTGTAAACATTGCCATCTGCAGTAAGTCAGGTAGAGATTAGAGCTCCAAGGAGCATGAACACACATATGTTGCGGGTTCCCATTTAAATGCTATATCAATTTCCTTTTAAAAGAACAAAAAGAGAAAAACAAACTAAGAAGGGCATACCAAGCAGACTCTATGGTCCTATCTTAACACAGTTGCCTTCCCATGACACTCATTTCAAACACATTTGAAAACAACCAATACAATAATCTGGCCCAAAAGAAAACAAAATCCCCTCTCCCTTCATTTTGGGGAAAGGGGGAGGGAAGGTACATTCCTAAGAAAGCTGGTAGGCATACATAGATGTATCTATATAAATATATATATAGAGAGAGAGATAGATGTACAATATGGCTATTACATTCCAGTGACGCAGTCGCGCCGGAACAACATACCCGCTTGAGTCTGGTCCAGAGATGTCTGGTACTCAAAGATGGAAGGTGTGGCTGCTCCCAGACCGTAGGGGTCCATGTGGGAGGGCATTTGGGAGGTGACCGTTCCCATCGCGCTGACTGCATATGGGTTGTACATGAGTCCAGGTGCCTCTCCGGGCGGGGACACCAGAGGAGGCGGGGCTCCATTCATGCTGGGCTGGCTGGTGGCCACAACTGTCGGCGGGGGAAGGCGGGGTGCGAGGATGATTGGCGCACCAGCCGGGCCCGGTGATCGCATCTGGATGGCAAGGGGTTGAGCAAATAGACGGGCATGTTCTGTTCCACACGCAAGGGGCACGGCCAGGTGGGGTGGGGGTGGGGAGAAAATAATACATTATAAACAGTCATCCAAATTTACTGTACAGCCATATGAATGTTTGTGAAAATAAATTCGAAGCACATGAAACAATAATATTTTTTAAAATATGTGCCTTCTGTAGGCATAATAAGTCTCCAGGGGCTTGGGTGAGCATCTGCGGAAAGTCAAAATGGCTTGAGTAATAGCTTGACGTAAGGCGAGGCCATGCAGAGATTCAGGACTTGACAAAAGACAACAGTAAGAAAACGATACTCCAAGCCTTAAATGAAGACCAGATTATGATGCTTGCAAACTGTTACTACGTGAAGATTCTCTTTATTCAATATTTCCAGATGTAACAAAGCATGCTATGAAGCAGAATTGGCAGTACTTCCATGTACACTTTTTATCTTATTCATTAACAAACTACAAATTTGGCCCTGATCACAGCTAATCTAGTTATTTGAATGAAATCTATGCCAAGTGCAATATGAAGTGTTGATTTATGGAGAGTTAATTCTATCTAATCATTGGGGGTTATACATTTATACAGTGGGTTGAAAAATCTTGCCACTTGTTTTCCTCTGAAGAAAAAAAAAAGAGAATGTGGTAAGAGGAACAGCAGTTTACCCCAATACCTTAAATCCCACACAAAAACATTTTTCACTAAAGGTGGATTAGGGCAAGACACCAAATCTCACCTTACTAAGTGACAAGATATTTCACAGCCACATACAATTTCCCTAAGTTAATGTCCACAGTGTTAGTTTGAATCTATAACACTTTAGTGATTAGGTTGCCAGTTAATGATGTTAAGATTAGTTGCACAAATCCCTAGTCAAAGTACACTGTATCCTAGAACCCAAAATTTCCTTTTCTCCAAAATAGGACAAAATATAGCACAATGTTCTATCAAATCATTTTGATGACATGAACAAATACTGAACCTTCTTTTCATATACTACCTTTGTTTCACCAATGACACATTTACTTAAAAGACACAAGAAAAGAGCCTGCCTTGAAGCATCCTTTACTTTCCATACCCTATACAATAATGGGAGAGCACTTACTAGGTTCACTGTAACTTGAAAACCGAATTAAGTTAGTACTGAGACGCTTTTGCTTGAATACAAATAATTCAATAACCACTTTTATGAATACACAGCACTGTGCACAAGAGACTCAGAGTCAAATTCTTATTTACCTTCAGTGCTTAGGAACTCTGAAAATTTAATTTTTTTTTTTTACTTCACTTCTTCCCTTTTCTGAAAAACAGCAAGTCCTGCAACAAATTAGTTGTTAGACTGGTTAGACAATACATCAACCAAAGCCAAAGTGGACAACATACAGGCAACAAACAAAAACAGGAATTAACATTTACTGTAACAGTGGTGAGAAACCACGGATATTTGATCGGCTACTGTTTCTGTAAACAGACGACCTGGTCCACTTTTTGTAACAATGCATTATAGATTGAACTTTCTAGTTCAAACCAGAGCTTCCAAAAAAGCATAAATTAAAGTTGGAGAACCAGAGTGGTGACTACTGAGAACAGCACCCCCCCTTAAAAAAAAACCCCAAAAAACAACCCAACATCCCTTCTAAAAGCTTCAACTTTTGGTATTTTATTTTAGTTTTAACTTTCTTTTTCCACCAGGCGTTGTTCAGACCTCTGTAATTTGGCAGTGGTAGTGGTAGAGAATCAGTAATTCCTTTCAATTCCATTCATCTCTTTCTGGGTGAAAACATGAAAGGATTTATTCACATTATGTAATGCTAGTGATCCCTGAATTAGATGCCTCTTCAACATTTATTCACTCAGTGTAAAAGCTGAAGGAACGAAGCGTGTAGATTTATCAGACAACATTGAAAAATATTGGTTAGTTCATGTACAACCCGTGGCAGAATTCATCAGAAACTTTTACAGACACAAACTGGGCAGCTTTACAGCAAAAACAAAACTCACTGCATAGAAGTGATCTTAAACCTCATTTTATGACATATCTATTTTGTAAATGGATACTTTCACTCAATATTTCATTGGCATCAATCTGTCATATTTTCTTCAATTTGTTTATTGTGCGCACAATAATTAATCTGTCGTTTCAGTAATTTCATCCCTTCCTGTCACGTTAATTGATCAATTATCTGTGTCCTCAACTCTTCCTTTGTGTGCACTACTTCCTTCCATTCATTGCATTCTCTTCTCTCATTTGTCTTTTGTCTTCCCTTCCTCATATTTCGTTTTCACTTCATCTTTTGTGAATCACCCCCCCCCCCCCCCCCTTTCCCCAAAAGTATGAGTTCTACAATATATATTGTATTGGCAGAATTCCAAGAAATGCATCTTTGACCTAAATAAAAAGCCGACCATAAAAGTTCCCTAAATTCTGCCACAGCCCAAGGGTTAATTCACTTTGTACACAGGTATGGGGAGGGGTTAGCAGCGACAGTCCCAGCAAAGACCACATGGCTCTAAGACAGGCTTCGCTCAGATCATAGTCTCGTCCTGCGAGAACGTGGGGTCGGTCACATGTCAGCAAAGGAATGAGATATTTTATTTTCCCCAAACTATTTCCTCAGATCAAGATGCTTATGGTTGAATTTTTTTTAGACCTCTGAGCTTTTGGTATTATTCATGAGTGTAATAATGTATTTATGTGCGTATGTTTGCCATTGTAACAACATTTCCTCAAAGAGACAAATTAAGTGCAATATATTTACCATTTAAAAAAATGTATTTAATCTCCTTGGCTGACACATGACCAGCCCCGCACCACCTAGCCATATATGACAAGTGTGGAACAACCTGAGCTCCGAACAACCCATCTTAGAGGTACAGTGTTGGTCCCTGGTGGCGAGAGTAGTAAGCTACAACACAGCGGCCATCGACCCAGTGGGTGAGTGGATGAGTCAGTGGATGAGTGGGTGCCACCAGACACTGCCCTGATGTAGGCAGCGGGTGGGTGGTGTGAGTTGTGAGTAACGAAAAGTAGAGAGATATGCAACTAGGACAAACCATCGGGGATGGGCCCCGTCCCGCTAACGGGCACGAGGGCGGGCATTTGTCCCGAGGCTCGAACCCCATGGTGGCCCGGGACAGGGGGCAGGAACATTGGCACCCCGCCTAGCTGGAGGTGGGCCTCTGTGGGGGGTAAGAGAGCAGAAGAGCACGCTTGGGTTAGCCAACTTGTGGGGCCACAAGGCGCTCACAACAGCTTAAGGGGGAGTCCACATTGTGCCAATCGAAGTCGAAAGCGTTCGGAAAGAAGAATGTCTGTGAATTTACTCTTCCAGTTCAGAAAAAAAAAGGTAGAGTTTGAGTTCAAGTAACCTCATAGGCAAAATACCCATCTATCTAGACTGTAAAGCACAAACGCAGTTTGTTATTGAGTGGGTGTTTGCACTGCACAAATGCTATGCATTATTACAGTGTATAATTTAGTACCAGAAAGACAAAATGCAAAACAGACCGACAGAAATGACAACTGGAGAGTGAACAAGAAATTGAACCTTCAGGTCACATTCTCCCAGCCATCCGCAATCTGTTTGAAAATTCTATTGCTGAATGGCGGTGATGCACGACACAGCACAGTGCCGCTTTCGACTTTCGAGCAGCAATGTGGGACACCCTATTACTACAATGCTACACACGGGGGCAACTAGTACAGGGTAAACACAAAAATCATTTAGAAAAGGGCGAAAAATATGGCACTACCACAAGGCGCGGTCCACAATGAAGAAAAAATCATGAGACTATGGGGAAAGGAATATGGATTGGAGGTGGAGAAGTAGCCTGACTTCTGATTAAAACACATCTCCACTCCCCAACCCTATCCCTTATCCCAAACACCATCTCTGAATCTGAAATGTAGACCGCAAGCTATAGTAGCCATCCAAAAAGTCGAAACAAAGAAAAGACATACACAAAAACCCGGCTAAATCAGGTCAATTGGGTTATAGGAGAATCTGGGCACACGAAAAAAGCAAGTGACCTAGAGCAAACCGACCAGTGGCGTGCTGTGATCGAGTGAAGCAATCCCTGTCTTCGAGTTTTATAAATTCCATTGAAAAGCCTCATTATCGTAAATTGAATTATAATCGAAATTGGGATAATCAGGGCCCCAATTTACTAGTAGAATCACGTTATGTATGCAATATGTTGTCAATCCATCTTATAAAAAAATATCGCTCACTTCTGTGGCAGAGACTCGGGAGGGATATTATTCGTGTTACGTCCCTGTTTCAACTCGATGCCGAAGCTTGAAAAGGTCATAATGGTGTTCAAATCAACTTAATCAACTAGTTATCAAGAAGCATTGTCAGAAATGCTGTAATCTTTTTGACTACGTAGTCTTACTTAGGTTGGGGAAAACCTTGCTATATTTCAAACAATACAGAGCAACAGCCCTTTTTAATAATCGGTAGAACACTCACAACATAAAAAATAGCATGCCTGCGCAAAAAAAGTTGCACGACTGTCATCAGTTGATACAAAGTATCAAGAGAAAGGAAACATTTTAGAGCTTTCGCCATCCTAGCTTTATTTCTATGCAAACCCCTCGTCGCCCATCTCAGTTTCCAATCTTTAAAACATATTTTCACTTCCACCTTACTTGATTTATTATGTGGCCTGCACAAATTTAACGGGCTGTAACAAAATAAAGCTGAAGGCAATAAACACATTACCCAAATGTTTGAGGGCAATCGAAATATTCAAATATTTTTCTCCCCTAAATCTCACAATACGAGACGCCTTTCCTTTCTGATGTGTGCCCAGACTCTCAAAGTTACATGGTGCTTAGCGCAACATTGTGAAAGTCCAAGAACACTTCTTATGTCAGGACATTCAAATGATTCTGTCAGTCTCGAAGAACTTCTGTCAATCAAAAGCGGGTTAATGAAAAAAAAAAAACACGTGAAAAAAAAATAGCATAGACAACCAGACGCAATATACAAATAGCAAATTAAAAAAATAATTTAAAAAATAAATAAATAAACAAATTAATTAATTTTTAAAAAAGTACCATTACAGCTTAACAACGAAACAAATACATGTACATAAAAAACGGTAAAATATGTTTAAAAGAAACAAAACAAAAAAGGAAACAAATTGATATGTTAAAAAAAATAATTACGAAAAGATAAATCAATAAAAATGAACCCAATCGATAAATCAATAACCAAATAAACAAACAAACAAATCAATCAATCAATGAAAATATAATAAATAAACAAATAAACCAGACACACATTATTATAACAAATGAAATAACTGTTGAATTTACATTGTGCTACAAACAAGTCTAAAGTTAGTAGACAAGTCTAGTACAAAGATCCATTCAAAAGTATTGCGAGGCAAATAGAAGTGGGGAAATCAATGAATAAAGGCTACATGAACATGATAAATCAATTCTAATCATTTCATTTCAATGATTTACTATAATAATAAAAGAATGACCAACAGCCAAATTATCGTAATATCGTACATAAAATTAAACTTCTCAAAGGAATGTAAAACAGACAACAAAAACAAACACAAAGGCTGTGAGGAAAGAGTGGGAAAAAGAAAGAGATTTTTAAAAAGGAAGAAAAGGAACATGCCTAAATAATTTAATTAGGATTCATTTTCTTAGGGTTCATTTAATTAAAATCAAATAAACAGAATTATTCATTTTTACACAATCAAGGCATACCTCAATCTGAAATTGTAAGAATTTCCACATTTTTGCACACGCAACTGCAATTAGTTTTGTAATAATACCAAAGAAATAACAGGGAGCTTTTATTTCAAAATTTCCGATCATTAAAAACATGTAATGTTTAAAAGGGGTTGACATATGCCTTGATCAGAAAGAAATGTATACAAATCGCCTATCCAGCGTACTTGTATAAATTGTTTATCCTGTGTACCTTAACTAGATTTCTTTGGCAACATTTATTAAAACCATTATGACTGAACATGTTACGCTAAAATCATTTTAACATCACATGTAATAATATTGGGACCCGATAAAACAATATAGTGAAATACACCAAATTTGTTACCGCCCAACACTTCTGGCATAACTTTGATAAACGTTCTTTCAGAGTTATGACAGAAGTATTTCGGAGCAGCACAACAAGTCAGGTGTCGTTGATAGTAAATAACAATAACTATGGCAACACCAAGACACCAGAAGGCAGGCCTACATAACACCACACAGTCAATACGGTACAGCTACTTGGGGAATAGATAAAATATTACAAATACAGCAACAGCCCTGTTGTACACATCGCTACGAGTGAAGCTTAAAAAACCACCGGCATCTCAGGACATGCAAAACCATGAACACGGAAACGAGAGCAAAATAAAAGTGGGGAGTGGTGGGGGAGGGGTGGGAGCACGTGCAGTAGCGTTCAATGTGAGGAGAGAGGCTGGGGATGAAAAAAAGTGTGAAAGAAGAAAAAGGGGAAACGGTTGTGGTTTTTGGAGGTGGGGAGGTTGTAAAACTTTTGTTTCACTTGAAAGTAAAAATCCAGAGAAAATGGCAAAAGTATTACAAGGAACATTTGTGGAACAGGAGAAAAGGTAAAAGACCAACATTATATGATGTCTGGTCTATATCCAGACATGAAAGGAATTTAAGGATGCCCAAAGAGTGAATGAGTTAAATCGTCTCAGGGGAATTCCCAGAGATCCAACTTGGGTAATTTCTCTTCTATCAATCTGTGGATGTCATGAATGAAATCTAACGACCGTAGAAGAGGTGTCACTGACTGCCTTGCATATAATTAATCCATACATTGAAAGCTCTCCTTCTCAAGTCAATTATCTGACAACTAATTTTAATACTGAACTATTTGAAACGTGATATGCAAAGTGAAATGACATCATTTGATAGTCAATAGATTGTGATTCCCAATTATTGTCACAGTATTTTCGAGTTGGTCAGAAAATACAATCAACACTTCTTCTTATTTTGATTATCCACATGCCTCCCTTTTCTGTTTTATATTTATTCACAATTCAAACAGAAAATAATCCAGATCCGATTGCTGTCTGCGACATTGAAGGTCAATCCTAGATTTTTAAAAAGACAATATGGGCGTGATAGAACAGGAGATACAATCTTTGTAGATAGATTTTATATTTAATTATTTTTTTCTTCCTTTGTTTTTTGGTTTTTTTTTCATTACTTATTTATTTATTTTGAGGAGGGGTGGGCTAGGAGGCAAAAAACTAAACAAAAACAAACCCACCCTGAACAGGAACAAAGAGGGCGGGACAATGGGTGAAAGATCAGAAAACGTGAAGACAAATATTATCTGGAGAAAAAAAAGAAGCATCTAAACCAAAACCAGAAGCCAAGAACACATCGACACCAAATACATCCATCCACAAGCTACAACGACAGAAAGAGAAATGAACACCGTATCACGTCGACCACCGTAAAGCGCACAGAGGATCCGGGTTCAAATCCGGGCAGTTGGCCTGAACCAAGGAGAAGAATTTAGAAGAGGCATGCAGACGCCATGGAGGGTAATGATAATATGATTGTGAAGTGAGATATTCAAGAAAAAACGTCTACGGAACTATAAGGCGGTGATGATACACTGCTAGGGGAAATAGAAAGGGGGACAGGGGGCAAGGCTGCCTCATTTTCGTACAAATCCGCTTCTTTTGCAATTTTGCTGTCTTGATAAAATACCTACTTCAAGTTTTGTGTCTTAAGATGATCACTTCAATATTCCATGTGTCTTGATCTCGTGTATGCTTACTTCAAGTTCCGATGTGTCTTGATATGCTTATTTCAAGTTAAGATGTCCCTCAATGAATCTTGATATACCCACTTCAAGTGTCGGTGTGTCTTGATATGTCTTGTTATGCTTACTTCAAGTTTCAGTGAGTCTTGATATGTCTTGTTATGCTTACTTCAAGTTTCAGTGAGTCTTGATATGTCTTGTTATGCTTACTTCAAGTTTCAGTGAGTCTTGATATGTCTTGTTATGCTTACTTCAAGTTTCAGTGAGTCTTGATATGTCTTGTTATGCTTACTTCAAGTTTCAGTGAGTCTTGATATGTCTTGTTATGCTTACTTTAAGTTCCGATGTGTTTTTGGTATGCTTACTTCAAGTTTCAGTGAGTCTTGATATGCTTACTTCAAGTTTCAGTGAGTCTTGATATGCTTACTTTAAGTTCCGATGTGTTTTGGTATGCTTACTTCCAAGTTTCAAGGTCTCTTGATATGACATAATATGCTTACTTTAAGTTCCAATGCGTCTTCGTAGGTTGGCTTTATCAAAGTTTTGCTGTGTACTTCGTGTTTCGATATGCATGTGTGTAGACTGATACCCACGGGTAACATCAATTTTCGCCAATACCAGCAGCTGCTAGAACAAATTTGATCAGGAGCAAAAGTGACACAGGAATACGTCACTGGGAGGTACATGTACATGAGGGCAGCTTTACTACCATCTTCTCTTGCTGTGTCCTTTTACTTTAAATTACACAAGTTCGGTTTCAACCTTTAACATTCATTTATTCATGGGCAGCTTCACAATGATTAAAACTAGATTTCGAATTTGCGTTACTTAATAAGAAAATGAGGCAGCCCATAAGTCTAACGTGAGGAAGAAAAAGGAGTTTAAAAAAAACAAACAAACAAAAGAATACATCGCGGTCTGCAGCAAACAAAGAATATAAAAAAGACCATATCTCGTCAATATAAGAAGCCAGGCACCGCACACAGCTATAGAGGGAAGGGGAAAAAAGACGAATAAAAAGAAAAACAGAATTAATACAGAGGAAAAAAAAACATAAAAAGGAGGTAGTGGGCCTAGTAGTAGTTGTGTCCACGGCGTGTTGGCAAACTCCGAGCACACTTACGACCAGGCACGGGGTTCTGTGACGGAGATGCCGATGGCTTCGTTGTATCGCGATAAGTTCCGTTAATAATAGCTAACTCCATAAGTTGCCTTTTCTTCAGATCATCCTCTCCGTCGGGCTATGAGAGAGAACAACAAGTGAGGAAATCATGGTTAGTCAGGAGGAAAGAAGGAATGAAATGATAATTTGGTGTTGAAACAGAGACCTCATTGTGAGGAGGGAGGATGAGAAGGAGCAGGAACGGGGAAGGGGTAGGAGGGTGAGGACGTTGCTGGGTGGGTGTTAGAACGAACGTCAGAGAGGATTTGGGG